CATTAGCCGCTGACTTTGCGTTACACAGCTGTAAAAAACTGAAGTACGTTCCTGGCGAGGACTCTGGTGATCGGGGATGTGTTGGCATGATAAAGAGAGCACGCCGATACACTGAATTCCTTAGCTAAGTATATAAACCAAATAATTCGTGTTGCTAGTCCTTGACACGCGCCTACCCATCCAAGTCCCAATCAAGTCATCCTGAGACGCCGCCAGTCGCTCCATGCGTTAACGTTCGAGATGAATGATATTGAGCAATCGTGATGTGCAGCATGACAGACCGGATCAAGTTGGTGTCGGCGACTGTTTGTTATTCAAAAGAGGTCAGTTGAAAGATGAAGAAGCTGCAACGATGGGTGGGGAAGATTGCAGTTGCCGACAGGGAGGGAGCGCGTCGTCTAAGCGGTAGCTAAAAAAGTCTAGCGTAGCGACAGTGAGTCGGTCTAGAAAGAGCGGCAGATACAGATACAAAGTTTTCGAGATAGTAAGCACAATATCTAGGGAATAGCGGCACAGTTTGAATATCAATTTTATTTCTACCCTATCAAGTGCGAGCTCAACATTGACCATCACCGTGTGCTAGGCAAGTCCTGTATCAAGTCTAGAAGCTTTTACTAAGTCGGGTCTAAAGCGTAAAATACCTTGACTTCGTCAACTTCACTTTTTGATTGCTGGTGGTTTCGTGACCAACTTACTTATGCTTTGTGCTGCGCGAATAGCAGATCCGCGGCAACGGCATGAATCGTTGGGTTCGTAACCTGTTAGACCTTGTAAGTTTAGAAGATAACGTGAAAAGTAGAAGTGTTATTGTTCAATCACCCACTAAATATGATTCCTACGTTCACTACCATCCAGCCGAATTGTCATCCCTAGAACGTACTGGGTCTGTGCCTATCTGCCGGGAGTGGTCGGCCGACCTTCAACAGACTCTAACGATCTTGCGTTTCTTACACTATCCTCATCGGCGAACACCTATTATCCTTCGCCGATCTGCGTGGCTGACGTGTGCCACACTACAATCTTCCTACTGGATATTCTGTGTGTTTTGTACTCGGGGGTTCACGCTGCTAAAAGAGGTCGTCGCTTGGCAGTATCAGCAGCAGCTGAAGAATTAGTGATGTAATTTCCGGGTAGTTGCAGAAAGTTTTGTGACAAATTTTTATATGTACCTTACATTTGCCTTATGAGAAATTCAACCGGCTGGAGCGAGACTGGGATGAATGGTCCTACCCAATGTCTCGTGGGGGTTTTATAGAAGAATACATTGCAGGGTCTTTTTCTCAAGACAATATTCGATTTGACCCAATTTGGTGTCAGTGTTTTGAGACGGGCTTACCATGCTTCGAAGACCGTCCAGCACTACGAGGATAAATGCTATATTTAGTTAAAAGATACAAATGCCATTGTATGTGCTGATATGGATGGATATCGTCAGTTCTCCGACCTGACTTAGTGTTTGTAAACGTCGAAAGATCGAATAGAATTAAACCAACGAATTCGCATCCGATTACAGAGTGAGTTGACATGTTTTTGGTCAATAAAAACTGTAGGGGTAGGGAAGTATTGTACGCCGGCCTCTTCGACGTATCCTGTCGGAGGAGAGCGCCAAATATGTATATGCCAATCAAAACCCTAAGTCACGGGTAAATTTGCATATTTGCGTGCCAAGTGACTTCAGATGAGTTTGGTTGATCTGCAGCCTGGAAAATCCAAGCGATCCATAGCGACTGCTGTGAAGTCATTTGTGAGTTGTCGACAGTCTGATAATGCGGATCTAGAGTATGACAAGGAGTGCATACAGAGAGACAACTCTGGGCAGTGCATTATGTCTGTGATGGATAAGTACGCTATGCGAATTGCATTTAACAAAGGCAGGGACGACAAGCCGCTTGTTAGACATTCTTGCATGCAGTACAACCGACAAACTAATAATATATTGCCGGATCAGCTTCTACAGCAGCGTGCTTTACTCGAATCACGGCTAATCGAAATAGATAGAACGTAAGAAAATTACTGTGTCAAGAGAGAAGGTGGCGTTCTTGTCAAGAAGGCCAATGCGTGTACGAAGACTCACTTAAAGCGGATGATGTTTATTTGTAACCAAATATGCATTCTCGACTATTTATTATCTGGATGTAGCTTAGCTGGCCGTTTTTGGTACCTGCTTGGGCGTGCTTCGGAATTGACCCTCATCCGCAAACAGAATGTCGCGATCGATGCGAGCGAAGTGTTCTTCGTACGCTTCATTCGCATAACACATGCGAAGAGCAGGGACTCTCGATCTTCCTCGCCGAGGACTTCGCCGCGTTCCCGCTGCACGCCATAGATCTAGCTCTGATCACACAGGCAGTGCCGTGTGCCGACCTCCTTGACAATTTATCCTCTCAATCAGTGAACATTGCAGTCGGATTGGCCCTGAAACGCCGCTGCTCGACACTATCAACCACCCAGAGGCTTCCTGCGATTTATAAGCTGCTGCTACCTCAGGCACAGATAGTTAGCCATCAATTAATAGCTACGTGAATAACTTCCACGACTGCGTCGCCTCTAAAGCTCGGGTAGAGCAGCAGCACACTTCACACTCGTTCCGTCGTTGCGGTGCGCAGCACGCGAACAGCTGCGCAAATCTCGCGGAGCCCTGGATCTTCGACCGCGGTGCCTGGAACATGATCACGACAAAAAAAGCGTTTAAAGACGTGTTCAGCACAATGAATGAGTACCACAAGGTTGCGAAGCTGTTAAGCGGATGGAAGCCGAACAAATCCGTGTCGCTTGCCGACTTAAGTCTCTTCGATGCTCACATCCAGGACAGAATACGCGAGATGTAGGCGATGCTGTTTGCAACCTGTCAGAGCCTCAGCGAGAAGAAGTGCAACGTCAGTCAGCGCTTCTTCGACGTGCTGACGGCGTACTTGGTCTTGCGTTTCCCGCTCCTTTAAGAGACAAGCCCCAGCGGGACAGCTGTTGAGCGCTTAAAAACTTGCGTGCTGGAATTTGGTCGCACCCTTGCCTATATGCTTGCATGGGCCACGCATCTCGCATTGTCTCCCTGTGCAAAGGAACATAAAGAAAAAAGAGAACTATCCAAGAAGTCAAGCACAGAGTCTGAAGAACGCAAAGTCATTCGCCACCAAGCTTCTGTCACTGATCACGTTATCCGACATGCAAGACGCCAAGACGATCGCATGGATGCGCTAGAAGCTAAGCTCGACAAAGCGCGGCCTCAAATGAAAAAAACAAGTACAGGGAGGAGGATGAAAACGTCAGCAAGTCTACGAAGCACAGAAAGCAGTCGTCGCTAACTCACCTTCTCTCAATATGGTTCGAGCGATACGCGCGTGACCCGCGCATAAGAAGCGCCCACAGTGAGAAGCAGAAGAAGTTGGACTCGAAGCTGCTCGCTGCTTTCTCAAAGCTGCTTGTTGAGAAAAGCTTCACGATGGACGAGCAAATGATGACGTACCGAAACGACGTGTTGGCGCTGGGCTTGCAGGTAGAATCAAACGTCTTGGGGTTTCTCTGAGAGCGCGGCATCCATTCGAAAGGCTTCAATATATTTCTGAAGCAGATGCTCGCGCTCCATCGAACTGGCGATCTGAACGGCAGAATTAAGTCTACTATGCAGTCATCTCTGTTCTGGCGGTCGTTGATCCAGATCCTGGATTCACACAAGACATTCTTGAAGAAGTGTAAGGCAAGACAGTTAGAAACATACACAGCCAATTCCTTACATTCATTAATTGATAATAAAGAACAAATTTGCACGTACAAAAGTTGAATAAAGATGGTGGTCTACAATGTTAATACATGATCAGTATTCAAGCCAAATGTGTTCCCGTTTTACGATACGTCGGAGGGTCGGACTTTTCATGGTGGAAGTAGGAGGAGATTTTGCATCTCAGTTTGATACATGTCCTCTTTTGCAACCTATGGACTACATGTCTGTGCGAGTGTTCATGCTTGAAATAAATGAAAAATACAAAATTAGTTTTTGACCACACACTCTCCGGTTTACCCTTTCTTACGACAGGTTTACCAAGGGTTGTAGCAGGGCACTGGGAGCTACGCACTGGCAACAGTGCGTAGCAAGCTCTCACTGACTGCAGCGAGACCTAGTTTCCTTTTTCGATTGTGTACGCATTACGCGCTCAGAGGAAGACTTGGTACCAGACAACTAAGCTCAGTAAGAGAAAATAAAAATGTATTGTTACTATTATGTCCATAAAAAATATTTGTCCTATCAGTCTTAACTTAGCGATATAGATACCGAAGCATGTATAGTGACGTTGACTTAACACGCATTGTGCGCGAGACGTCTACTCGCCACCTATTGCACGCGTCTGGCATCGACTGGTGGTTTGATATAATGGGATAGCAACCAATGAGTGACTCTTGGGTCACTGCATCTATAATACTGAACACAGTGATACTGTAGTGAGATCGTTAGTTTATATATTTTTTAATTATCATATTGTCACATAAGAGAATATGATTTAACAGGCTCACCCCGTTACAAGGATCGTCCCTCCGCTAAGTGTGTTGTCGTAACAATATTTCTTGCAGTTTACTACATTAATTTGTTTGTTTGCACGGAATGAATGGTAATTGACCAACAGATCTCAAGCGAATGTGAACATGGGCGCATATCAATCATCGTGAGTGCCTTCTATTTCCCATGTTGCAATGCATTTTTGTTGAGGTTTGGTGCACTGTTGTGTTTCCCTGCGGCAATTACATTGTACTCAAGAAATATCGTCCTCGCAATTTTCAGAACAAAGTTATAACTAACTTGTTCTGAGAATTTGCAAGTACGAATCTCGCAAATGGAAGCAATATTTTGCAAGTAAAAGCGATTTTCTCTTTTTTTCTAACCCTAAGTACGACAAGTGCGGGGAAACTGTCATGGGGAATACTAAGGCCGTTTTGATCTGCCAGAACAGGCCTAAGTGCGCAGTGTTCGCAGAGCATCCAGCAATTGCACCTGCTAAGAACCGTAGCTCATGTTCAGCACCGCACCGACGTCAAAGGCCAACGCTCCTGCACCTGTGCTGCCCTGGGTGGAGAAGTAGTACGTGCTCTGACTCTCTGCGCCTCTCTTAACCCCTGCGTACACGACGTACATACATACAAACACTGACATCGACTCACTACTGACGTGGTTGCTGTCCCTGTAGTCGGCCGAAGCACGTGGACGAGATCTCGCATCAACAGCACGTCGTCGCTACGCTCAAGACGTCCATCGCGAACGGGCAACTGCCTCACTTGCTCTTCTATGGACCCCCAGGCACAGGCAAGACGTCTACGATTGTAGCCGTGGGGCGCCAGCTCTTTGGCTCGGATTTTCGCAAGAACGGTCGGTTCTTGGAGCTGAACGCGTCGGACGACCGCGGCATCAAAGTGGTGCGGGAGAAGGTCAAGAGCTTTGCACAAGGAGCTATCAGCACTGGTAGCGGCCTGCCCCCCTTCAAGATCATCGTGCTGGACGAGGCCGACTCGATGACCGGCGACGCCCAGTCGGCATTGCGTCGCATGATGGAGAATTACTCCAAAGTCACGCGGTTCTGTCTCATCTGCAACTACGTCAGTCGCATCATCGAGCCCGTCGCCTCGCGATGTGCCAAGTTCCGCTTTGCGCCACTGGAAAAAGTCTCGATGGCGACTCGCGTGCGCTTTATCGCTGCAGAAGAACATGTGACTGTGTCGGATTCGGTGCTGGAGTTGCTGCTTGAGTGCTCGAACGGCGACTTGCGAAAGGCGATCAACTACCTCCAGAGCGCCAAACAGCTCTGCGGAGAGGATGAACTGACGGAAGGCGATGTTGTGGCGGTAGCTGGGCTTGCTCCGCCTGAAGTGCTGCAGCAGTTTTGGACTTCTGTGGCTTCGAATAGCTTTGAGAAGATGAAGACCGACATTGCCAACATTTTGCTGGCAGGATACCCGGTGCTGACAATTTTGCGGCAGCTGAACGATGACGTGCTCGCGCTAGAGAAGATCAGTGATGCACAAAAGGCGACGATCTGTCTGCGCATTGCAGAAGCCGACAAAAAGCTTGTCGACGGTGCTAGTGAGCATTTCCAGCTGCTTGACGTCGCATCCCACGCCATGCGCGTCTACAATACGGTGTGACGAGCGTGTTGATGTTTTGCATGGCAAGGATACATCGATATAGAATAAAGGGGGAAATGATGGCAATGATGAACACGTACGCAGTAGAATTGATTTTGCAACACCGACTCGAAGCGGCAGTTTGACAGCAATCGGCATACCACGGCGTCAAGCAACTAGCTGCTCGTGACCGTAGCTGCGCCCTGGCCAGTGACAGAAGAAATGCATGCCCATTCATGATTCTTCTGCTGTTTCCAAACCGTGACTTCATCGTCACCAGCCGCGACGCTGAGCGCCGAGCCCGTGAGCGACCAACTTATCCGGTACGCTGGCGCACGGAACGTGTGCAATACGTGGGACGTCCATTCTCCACCGGCCTCATCCTGCGTCCAAACACGCACCGTGTGATCGTCGGATCCCGACGCGATCACGTTGGCAGGTATGCCGACGTTTGGCCCCCAAGCCACGTCGCGGACCCAGTCGTTGTGTCCATACAAAAGAGTGCCTTCGACTTCCCAAGAGCTGTTGCCAGGGGTCGCACCTTCTTGAGAAGCAGCAACAAGTCTCCAAATCGTGATCGTCTGATTGCACGAGCCAGTAATCACGCGCTGGATGGGTCCGTGAGGTCCCTGCGAGCCAAGTGAATTGTAAGGTGCCCAGCTAACTGCCGTGCAGCCCATACCTTCCTCTGAGTTGCGGAAACTTGATGTACTGACCCACCCCTCGCGCATGCGCGTGAGGAACGACACGTGCCCGTCGGCCGAGGCGCTGGCGAGACTCAGTCCGTACTCGTACGGCGCCCACGCGACACTCAGCACAGCGAGCGAGTGGAACTCGTGCACGTGCTTGAGACGCCACTCAGTCACGTTTTCGTCAGCTCCTTCAGCGTTCCGTGGCGCCGGCTGCAGCAGTTCCTCCCGATAGACGTACACTTTCCCGTCTTGAGCTGCGAGAGCCAGTACGGCACCAAATTTGGGGTGCGCCCACGCGACTCGATGGATGGACGCGACCGAGTCGTCGGCCAGCCGCACCACGTGCTGCAGACGGTGCAGCTGCTGCGTGGATTGCTGGCAATGGTCGCGGCTTTGCGTCGCTGTCGCTGAGTCGTCGCCGTCTTCGGTGGCTGCAACGGCCAGAGACACGTCGTACACGCGGAACGTCCTGTCGGACGAGCACGTGGCCAGGCGCTTGCCGTAGTAGTCGAGCTGGATGTCGCTGATCGTGTCGCTGTGCTCGGTCTCGATGCTCAGCAGCGGTTTCTGGCGTGACGCGTGAGCACGGGGAGCCTGGCGGGCGTACTCGTCGCTGTCCGTTGTCGGGCTGCGGACGCTGCCGACGAATGCCATTTCGGTTTGGCGTCTGGATACCTCGAAACGGGTCGGAGCGAGGCAGTTGGTAAGTTCGCCGTACTTAGTTGGGTGTAATTTGCCTTTTTCTAAAAAGCTGTAAGTGGGAATCGACGAATCACTGTGCGCTTAGGAGGTAGTCAAAAACAGACGCGATGGACTCTGCGTCGGGGCGCCGGCCACTGTGTCGATGTGTTCTGAAGTTGGTTTTCGTGGAAACAAAGTCAGTGTCAGCGCTATCGAGCGGTTCATGTAGACGGAAGCGACCGTAGCGCACGTGAGAAAGCAGAGGCGACACAGGCCGCGCACGGGCACGTCGAAGCCGTTCGCACCCTGGCAATGCGATGCCACCGTTTCATATCGAGAACCTGACTGCACCAGCACAAGCCTTCTACCTGTGCTGCGAACTCGCATCGAATGAGGCAGCCTGTTGCCGTCAGCTTTTGTGCAGTGGAGTCTGCACCTGCCGCAGCGTATCTGGAGTGATCTCTGTCGTAAGCCCATTGGCGCTGAGCTACCGACGACGTCACCTCTGGTGCTCAGCATGAACGCGAAAGCAGCAGCACCTGATTCCTTACCATGTTTTCCGTACAGCGCATCTAGGACAGAACTACGGGTAGGTACAAGCGCAAAACCCAAGGGCGAGCAAGCAAACCGGCGCAAAGCAGATCGTGTTGGTCAGGCGTCCTGCAAGTAGCCGGTTCGCGTCATATGCTGCCATCGCGATCGCTACATCAAGGAAAGCAGACACTTTTGAATCCGGTTAACTGGTCGGATGTATCTACCGCTCGGTCGATCTTGCGTTTATCGTTCTATGGGTTTACACGCCGTCCAGTTGGCCATAGTGCTGCGGTTCGTGGGTTCAAGTACCGACATCTTGACATCGATATCGTTATCAGAAGCAGCGGCAATGTTTGCCCGCCTTGTGCTTCTGACAACTACCGCAGCCGGCGGACGAGTTGGCCTGTGTCTTGCACCTCTCTATCGATACACTACGTGGAATCACAAAGGATCGACACGTCAGCTTCACCGATGCATATGAGCGAGTTGACAGTCGGTAAGGTATAGGATAGAGACCGCGGGTGAGAAAGAGAAGAAGACGAAGTCTCAGTGTGGGTCGGGAGACTTGCTCTGACAGCTCTTGCATGACGCGAGGATCGTACGTCAACTTGCTTCGAGCACACAGTACATGAACCTGGCACGTCCGGAGCCAAGAAAAGCAAAGGCAGAGTCTAGTCGACAGACAGAAGCATCGGTCGACACCTGAACACGCGCTCCTGACCTGGACGTGAACGCGCTCGTGGTAGAGAACACGTGCGCATGTTCTAAGGATTTACTTGCTGTCCGCTGCTTATGTATTGTAGATCAATGTTATTTCCAGTCATGATAGTGCAGAAGGAGTCACGGCGTCTCACGATCAATTCACAACACAAAACTCCATTGCAAAAGTCATGCAGTCATGTTATATCAAGCACAACTCGGTCTACCATGTAATACGCTAGCAACACACGCACACACACTAACGCTATAACGGTTGTAGCGGAAGTGCACATGCCACATGACTACTGACGTGCTCTCTAGATGCTGCAAGTGCGAGCTGGCTATGTTTACTAGAGCGCTCCTATCCGCCGGCAGAGAACGCCAAGCCTCTCGGCAGAAGTTGTGTCGGTACCACCTCACCTTCCTTCCATCCCAAAACGAAACCATACTCCCACATCACGACAGAGGCCACTACGGCCTTCCGGTGCGCACTTCGCGAATATACTAGTAGTCCATGTCACTCATTGCACGAATCCGAACGCGCGCAAACTTGATGTCCCGCCTCAGATCCATTGCATCTGCCGTCAGCAGGTCTCGTGAGAGCTCGGGATATTGACGAGTCTGGCCTCAATTCGTTACGGCACGGGTGGCATTCGTGAGAAACGAGAAACGTTACAGGAAATTGACGGCTATCTTCTCGGAGATTGTCGCGGGCTCCGGGTAAAAACACGCGTTCTTCGTGTCGTGATTGATCCGATCATTTCCACGCTCGCAGGAGCTCGAGAACAAGGACGGAAATTGCGAGCACACACGCGACGATGAAAACTTATGAGGACTAGAGTACACGACACAGCACCAGTCCTCATAAGTTGCTTGTAGTCGCGTCTCTTTTGCGGAAGCATGGCACAGTGGACAAAAGCGGCTCTGCTAAGGCAAAGCAATTGCGCCGCGTTTAGTGGATCAACACATGTGGCCCGTTCCTCTGTGGGAGGTGACCTGCCATTTACATTTTTGGTTTTCAGACGCCGCCACAGTGGCCCTTCCCACATCATTCCGTGCACTACGTAACGCGCACTTTGCAGTTCATGGCGGCGTATCCAACACGCGTGTTGCGATTCACCCTGTGATTCTGCTGCTCTCGTCATGGGCGAGGCCCCACTTTTTGTCGCATGGAGCATAGGACACATCATGGTAGACGATCCCTTGCGCATGGGCGCTAGCTGCAAGCAGACGGGTGCGTCTGCAAATGTAACTGTTCTCATTCTTGCACAGAACTCCTGCACAGTTACCGCGTTGCATGCTGCTTGAACGAGACCGTCCTAAGCGCTCAAAGGACAAGTGACTATCGATCGGGTGCAAAGCGCATCAACGCGCGGCATTCTGAGCTCCACTTGCTACTCGCTCACGTGCATGGACATCATTCAAGTACTCGATGCTCGGACATGATCAGTGTACAAGCGAGCAAACACGCCATTGCATCGAAGAACACGACATTTGGCCCCTTTACGTTCGCACTGAGATACGAACTACCACTGCCGTCACTGAAGCGCTGGTGACCTCATGTTACCAAGAGGACCATTGCATGAGCAAGTAGCGATCCTTGTTGCTGATGTATCACGATCACGCACGTTGCTGCATATACAACTCTTCCTACCTCTCCGGTTCTCGGGTGCTCCCTCTACGAACATGCTGGCCTTCTTTCGCCTACCCAGCGATGCGGCCGATATGTTTTTCATTCTTCAGCTAGCGACTACAAGTGCTCGGACACTATCGCTGTGCTGTCTAAAGGAGGGCAACTGAACGCGCTCGTGCCGCAACCAGTTGGTGTGACGCTTTGGCGGTAGACAATAGATATAGGTCAACTGCAGGGGGCCTTTTGTCGCGAGAGGAAGTGGTTGGCCGATACTTTCTCGCAGTGTCTTTGTCAACACATCCGCAGCGTTTGTCGTCAGAGCAATGTTTGCGGTCAATGGACCGAGCGGACCAACTTCCCGCCACGAGCGGCGCGCAAAGAGTGGCCGAGAGAAAGAGGAGAGCGCCAAGAGCTGCTGCGCCGAGAAGAAGCGCGAGCAGTTCTTCCAGGAAAGACGCGCACAGTCTGACAAGTGCAAACACGGTGGTGCACGCACGGACCCATCGACACAACCAGAGCGAGAATCCCCTTACTCGGCCCCGCATGAAACAGGCGCGAAAGATCCACTGGCTTCTGCCTGCAAATCCGATATTTTTAAGGTTGGCGCTCGTTGGATGCACCTCTGCGAAACTCCAGTGTAACGAGAGTGACTTGTTGTCCGCAGGGATGTCGGGTCGTCTTCAACGGACGCACCGGCAATGTGTCTTCGTACGTAACGGAGAAGAGAGACGTTCGTGTGCTACCTCATTCGAACTTGACTCTACTTGATTGTGCAGGTACAATTTGGCAAAGCTGGTGCAGGAACATGGAGGCAACGTTGCGTACGTGCGAATTTGTGGCTGACTGACTACATGTAAAGAGCTGACGCTCAATTGCACAGATCAGCGTTGACGACCACGCGCGTTACTCACATGGTCGGGTCCAACTTGAACGGGTCCAAGGCGGACAAAGTGCTCAAAGTAGGCCAAACTCTTTTGCTCGAGTCGAAGTTTTTCTTGCTAATTTGTCGGACGCTTCTTCGATGACACAGAACTCGAGCAAGTTCAAGTTTGTCACGCCAGGTATTTCTTGCGTTGTCGGTACATAAGCAATGGGTTGTCGCGCTCATCTCGCTGCCGATTCGGTTGACGCAGAGTGGATCGTGCAGTCAGTCAAGTTTCAGAAGCGCCAGCCCGAATTTGCTTTCCTCGTGTACAAGGACTCTCGCACGCTCTGTGCCGCATTTTCGCGGGCTGCTTCTTCGACCAGCTGACTTTCATGGCACTCTTCCACTGCAAGTGCTGGTTGACCTGAGACGGGTGGGTAGCCTTCATCTGCTACGTGCTTCTCACGCACGCGCAAACGTCAGACAGCGACAACAACGAGACGCGAACACATTCTTGTGAATGAAAGAGAGTGTACCATATGTGGGGTCAAAACTAACCAGGGTGATATATGCTGCCGCTCCTATCAACCACTACCGAGCACGACCAAAGACGAGAGCGTGAAGCCGACCTGATAAGCGCGACCTGACACTCTTTTTTCATGGCCAGCAAACCCTCCCATGACCTTGACGCCCGCGTCGCACTGTTCACTCTATCGTATTCGGAACCTTGTCGATGCACACGGTTCCAACGCGATAGAGCTGCAGCCAGGTCAACAACTGTGCGGCATCAGGCGAAGGAGACGCCACGTCACTGTTTAGCAGCACTTTGACCCTCCGTTGGAAGGAACCTGCTGGCCGGGTGTCAGCTTGACGCCGGCCTTGGGAGCCACAGGGGCGTTGGCCATGCGCTTCTTAATCTGGGCGGCCATCATCATGAAGGCTTTTTCGACATTCGCCGCATTCTTTGCACTGGTCTCGAGAAATTCAATACCCAGACTCTCGGCAAACTCCTTGGCTGTGTCCGTGCTCACCACCCGCTTGTCCGCCAGATCGCTCTTGTTGCCCACCAGCAACTTGTTCACGTTCTCGCAAGCATATCTACAACCACAGCAACATTGCGCGTAAGTTTATAGCTATCCGCAAAAGGCTCCACGGCCAAACCCTCGACTTCCACAAACGCACCGATCAATCTCGTGCAGCCACTGCTTAACGTTGTTGAACGACTCCTGGTCCGTCACGTCGTAGACCACAATGATGCCGTGAGCACCGCGGTAGTAACTGCTAGTAATCGTGCGGAACCGCTCTTGTCCGGCTGTGTCCCACTGCGAATCACAACCCCATCCCCGTCAGTTACGCGCTCAGCAAACAGTCTACAGACCGACAGAGAACAGTCAGGTAGCGTACAATCTGGAGTTTTATGGTCTTGCCATCCAGCTCAATCGTGCGGATTTTCTGCATACGACCACAACCAAACGCCACGTCAGCTACACACCCTCGACGCCCACGTGTCTCTAGCGCGCCAATCAGGCAGCGTAATGCCAGTATCACTCACAAAGTCCACACCGATGGTCGAGATGTAGCTCTCAGTGTACGTGTCGTCAGCAAAACGGAGCAGCAGACACGACTTGCCGACGCCAGAGTCACCAATCAGCAGCAGCTTAAACAGGTAGTCACTGGGTGCAATCGACGACCAAAGCAGCCACAAGCACCATTTAGACACAGCGAGACCTCCATCACCACCGACCACACTCGGCCGTGCACGTACTATTCCGGGTTCATTGTGAACGCTTGTGGGGAGGAGACGGAGGAGAGAGCGGCGCGTGCAGATGCTTGGAATCTGAGACAGTGCAGAGAGGCGTGAGGCACTGGACAAAGCACAGCCCGACCGTCTGGCCGCAGCAGCGAGGGCACAGGTACGGGGCATGCGTCGGGAACGATGCGACGCACAATGAGAGGCAGAAGGCGCGCGCGTTCCGGACGTTCTTTTGGTTGTGAGTGTGCGAGAGGAAGAGAAGAAATCGGAGGGGGGTAATGGACCGTTGGGTCGTCTTCGGCGGCAGGCGATTGGTCAGAATGCTCGGACGGCTTGTGCGACCAGTTGGAGGCTCCTCATTGGTCATGGCGAGCGCGAAGATTTCTCGCGCAGGTGTATCCAATCACAATAGAAGGGACGCGACGATGTTGTCGTGTGGCCAACACGAATTGAGCCCGTCAACGACGCGTTGTACAACGAAATGGACGATAATGATACGACAGCGCGGCCTGCGATCGCGCGCCGATATGACCGCCACACGAGCTGGAAAGTGCCTTTACATACCGACAACTGGGCAAAGCCGAACAGCCACAGCGCACTCGACGGTCGGTGGGTGCGGCCACATACCGTCGATGCAGCGAAATCGTAGGACTCGGAGTAGTGCAGGAGGTGGGTGGCCTTGTCGTAGGCACAGGACCCCCGATCCGATCTCGTACACGGCACGTGCCAGCGGCACCTGTTTCCTCTGCCCGTTGATGCAACTTTCGAGCTCGTCTAGACGCACTGACAAAAGTGGCCATGTCGTTGCAACAAGACGACGGCACGGCAAAGACGCAGTGAGTACTTTTGTGCCGAAGCGCCACGATACTACAGTCCACATACTTTGCATGTCCACTGGGGCACAGCAACGCTGTCTACATACGTTGCATGTCCAATGGGGCACAGCCACAGTGTCCACCACACACTTTGCATGTGTCCAGTGAGTGATGTGGGCTGGTGTCGGAAAAGATACGTCGTCGGCCTGGTCTTAGAGGCACGGAACACACAAATTCCTCACAAAGTCCCCTCGCGTTCTCGAAGGCGTTTGCCGGGCGACGTGAGAAATCAGTTGTGTACACCACACTAAATACACAAAGCGAGAAAAGACGGCAGAGTTTGTCTTAGGGGTGCGGGTCGCCGCTGCTGTTGTTGTTGTTCCCCCACCCGCACACACAAAAGGAAAAGAAGACGACCGGCGAGAAGCTCCGTGAGAGAAAGAGAAAAGGCACGTGATCGTCCGTACAGACGCCGCCCTCTGGACGTGGCGGCCTGTGGTGCTCCCTATGGGTTCCGTTGGCTGCAACCAGTGCGTCTGGGGGACGGGCGTCGCAGTTGCCGGTCGACCGCTACCAATGAACGGAGCGCTCGAGCCGCCGACTCAGCTGTCGCAGCGATACTAACGTGCGTTGGCGTGACTTTTTTGGTGCAGACAGACGCCAGTGATCTCCGCGACACACGAACCCGCCAACAGTTCTTTTGCACTGTCGTGACCATGAGCTCGTTCAAGAAGGAACACCCGTTCGGTACGTGTCGTTTTCCATGCAGTTGTTTGACTCAAACGCGCCGTGTAATGACTTGTGCGGGTGGGTGTTTGCGGATGGGGCAGAAAAGCGTCAGGCTGAAGCGCAGCGCATTCGGTCCAAGTATCCCGACCGCATTCCGGTGCGTGGCCTCTTCTCGCTGCTTTGGATGATGATGCGCCGAGGGGCTGTGCCGTTGTCTGACTCGCGCGGTTGTTTGGGTGTCTTTGTCTGTCTGTCTGTCTGTCTGTCTGTCTGTCTGTCTGTCTGTCTGTCTGTTGTCTATCCGTCTGCAGGTCATCTGCGAGAAAGCGGATCGCAGCGACATTCCGGACATTGACAAGAAAAAGTACTTGGTGCCGGCGGATCTGACGGTCGGCCAGTTTGTGTATGTGATCCGGAAGCGCATTAAACTGAGCCCTGAGAAAGCCATTTTCATTTTCATCAACAACGTGCTCCCGCCCACCGGTACGCACTTAATGCCGATGTGTGCCTCTTTTTCGTCCGTTGCAGGCCACGTTCTCACGTCGGGCCGTGTCTGTTTCTTATATGCTCTACAGCTGCGTTGATGTCGAACATCTACGAAGAACAGAAAGACGTGGACGGTTTTCTCTACATCACTTACAGCGGCGAAAACACGTTTGGCCAGTAGGTCGTACGTGATGTCGACGTACGGGAACTGGGTTCCGACTCGGGTCGTTCGTCGCCGCTGTAGTGGCTTGCGAACTTGCAACGCTTGCATGGCAGGAGCTGCGGCGCTTCATGCAGCTTCAGGCATCTACTAAGACGTTTTCTCGGCGACGGCGTGGTAAGATGGAGGCAGCGAAGGCGGTAAGCTGATCGGCTGGAGAGTCTTGCTCCGAACAGTTCTAGTGTGGTGCAGTTCGTTCTTTTACAGCTTGGCGATGTGGATATTTTTAGGAAACAAACAGAAAAGTGCATGACATTTTATTCACTCGCCGCTTTTTATTACTGGGTTACGTCACGCTGTTGCATCACGCTCCTGTTAGCTAATGGTGTTCATCGTCGCGTTGGAACTCCAGCATCTGCAAGCCTTGGCCAACAACGACAACGTCGTGAGCCGCTCCAGCCGGAGTCTGCCGGACTGCGAGGTCGGCAATGTCGGCACACTCCGAGAACGCGGCACCTCGCCACTCCAGCTCAAAGCCGTTCTTGTTGCGCTGAACGCTCCATTTGCTCACTCGTTGGTCGTAGCCGGCTGCAAAAATGACTTGAGCATTCACGCATGAAACCGTCTTGATCGCTGACCCGCTAGCATTCACCGTCCGAGTTTCCGAGAGCAGCTGGCACGACGGAAAGCGCAGTTCATGTACATTTAGATTCTGGTCGTCTCCACCGCTGACGATTGCTACGTCGACACTTCCCTCTTCGGTGCTTTTTGCACAGGAGACAAGATCGATGCAATTTGTGCCCATGTCGTGTGCCAAGTAGTCACCACTGGGCCGTAACTCCCTTATCAACGGCGCTAGCTTCTCACGGAGCTGACCCGCGTCAGCATGGGATCGAGCGAGCGACGATCCGACTTTCTTCAGCAGCATAGTCAAGTTCCACAGTGTCACCAGACCATCAGTGGAGCCGACAGCTAGTCCTGCAATCATCGCGTCGGCTTCACCTTGCTGAAAACCCACGCAAGACAAAATCGGTTTTCTCGAGACCGAACGGCAGTCACCGAGCTCAACAAGTCCAGCGTTGTTCACGTCCAGCAGAAGCAGTTGCGTGGACCCCTCAGAATTGCAAGCCGCGACAAGCCGGTAATCATCCGAGATACAAGGAATCGAGAACGTAGCAAGCCCAAGGATACGATGGTCCTGCGCTGCTTCCGCACGTTCCTGGCCACAAAGATGACAAAGCACATCGCTGTCACCAGCAACTAGCCATACATTTAGGCGCTGCTTTCCTCCCCCAGAAAGCACGATGTGCTCCTCAACGCCACTGGAACGTTTGCGAGCATACGTTGTGAGCGCTCGGACAGTCGTCGTGTGTGCGATTCCTGATGCCACGCCGCACCAACGCGAGCTATCTTGATTATCTCGGCCATGTTGAGTGCGGCGGCGTCGATGCAGCATCAAGCTGTTGTCTTCCGCTGCAGTAATCAAGCGTTCCTCTCCGAGAAACGATACACGAGTCGCCATACGACCGTGATGGTGATCATGTAGAGAGCACCTGGAGAAAAAAGGGGAAGTCTCTGAAGAATCGTACGCACGAAGAAGCGTCGAGTGCACCTTGATATCAACGTGCTGCTTCTGCGTTGTCGGGTGTGTGAACACGAACGTATGAGAGGGAACGGCGTGCTGGACCTTAGTACCACAAGTGTAAAGGGCATGAGGTCGGCGCCAACCACCGCATTCGACCTCAAAGATACAATACTGCGCAGACACGTTGTACAGAACAGCTCGTGACGCGTGGAAACCAAACACCATGAGATCATGTTGCGGCCTGTCGTCACAAGATGACGTTTGTCTCCACCAAAGCTGCTTGACTGTGGAGATGCCTTTAACGGATTCACGGCCCAACTGTTTGATTGTCAATGCCCCACTTGGGCTAGTGTCGTCTTCTAACGCATACGAGCAAATGTGCCCGTCATGACCGCCCGAAAGCATCGCGAGATGGCAGTTTCGGGCGTCACTAAGTAAGAGCGATGCCACCAACTCACGTCCGTGGACGCCTTTGAGCATGTAAGCAGGAGACTGTGTTGCACAGACTTCACAGTCTCTGCTGCTTGGAGCGAGCGGACGATGAAAGACGTACACATTGCCATGCCCGTCGCCTCCCACGATATTCCTGATCTTACCTGACCGGTCCACCACCAAGATTGACGAAATTGAGCTCTTCGTGGGAATTTCATACACCGCCACAAGATTCATTGCGACGGACACTGATGTCGTGCTATCGCATGCCTGTCTGACGATAGGCTTCCACTCGACGAGAATGCCACCAGCGCTACTGACGAAGAGAGTATCCTCTTGGTCCCACCATATTTTCATGACACGAGTCTTGGCTCGAGAAGTCCACGCATGCAACAGAATTCCCGTGGATGCCTCGACAACACAGACACGCCCCGTGACTTCACCAAGCAACAAGAAACGTCCAGAGAAATCGATCGAAAATGCCGACAGTCCACCAGTACGCGTTGTGATATGAGCGCCCTCACTAGAAGGCACAACGAAAGCAAGTTCTGCAGTACATGACATTAGATTCACGCGGAAAATCTCGCCGCGCTCGGAGGCTACAAATGCAGTCTTGCCATCATCCAGCGTGCTTAGCGCAATGTTCCGCACGCTGTGGGATGATGGACCGCTCTTTTTTTCTGCCGATACAATCGGAACACGAATAGTTTGACACACGTCGCTCGTCTCCGGTGCGTCAGAAGAAGACATGAGCTGGCGCGCTACATTCCAGAGTTTCACAGCACCGTCACCGCCTCCTGTGGCAACCATTTGTTGTGACGGGTGAACAGCCACACGCCACACGTGCCTGCCCACGTGTCCCCGCAACGTGGCTACACAATGGCCGTGAAGATTCCACATCTTGGCTAGACCATCTTCGCTCGCTGTTACCACGCCACACTGCCAGAAGGATACATCCCAAATACGCGCCGAATGACCCCACGCTCGGAACACTGGCAAGTACGCTCTCTGCAGTAGTTCAGCTCGACTTGATTGCCGCATCGAGTTTAGCTGCTCGACCGTGGGGGTCCCATCGTTCGACCACAACTGCACAGTGCGATCGTCTGAGACAGAGACCAGCAAGCGCGCAGTCGACGACCACGCCAGCTTGAAAAGCACGCCTTCGTGAGCATGCAGCCGTTGCACTGGTGCAACAGCAGTGTCAGTATTGTCGAGTCCAAACTCCAGTGGATTCCACAGCAGAATGTGCTGGAACACCGTTCCCGACGCAACAACGAGTTCCTTCAATGATCGACCGTGGAACGCCAGCGCATACAAAATGCAGCGCTCAGTGCATTGCACGCTCAGCAGCACATTGCGACTATCGGGTTGCCATATCTGCACCAAGTTGTGCGCCAGTCCGACCGCCACCAGCACGTTCGTGTTCTTTGCTGGTCCCACCACATCGTCGTCTGTCAACACGTGCGCGTCGAACACCCAGTCACTGAACACTTTTGGCCTCCCGAGCGCCGTAAGCTCCTTGATCCCTCGAGATGCGTCACAAGTCTGAGGCAGGTCTACGAAACAAGACACGCGCTTTTGACCGAAAAAGACGCCCACAACTGACTCGGGCGTGGCGCGAGGAAGCTGGACGATGTCACAGCCGTGCAGAATACCGAGCGGCAGGACGGTATGCTGGCTCAGCAGCTTCCCCGACGACGTTGCATAGAGAAAAATTGCCGGGCCTGCGCCCACGTAGAGCAGAGACCCGTCGGACGAAAACGATAGGAGCGTTACTGCGCCCAAGAACTCGCGCGTCTTGATCGGCGCCATTCAAGTGGCGAATGACAAGTATCCGGTATACCGATGGGTGCGACCGGTATGCACGGCGCTAGTCTGGAGCGTCAGGGATTCTTGTGTCGGTCACTGCGGATTGACTGAAATTCTGCAAGCTGTAACTTTGCGCACGCTGCATCGTAACCCTCTCCAAAATGTGGAGCAAAACCGAATTTGGGTTGAATTACCGCCTCGTGAACACAGTAGATGCTGTTTGACAGTGTGAAGCTCCATAGCAAGCTTTGAGGGTTCTTGAAATGATCGAAAAGTATCCACTGTGTTCGTGTCACGGAGTGAGACTATTGCATGACATTGATAACATTCATCTCATGTCGATGTCAATATTATCCTTGCAGATAGTGTTGATCAACATTACTACAGAGAGTGACAACGCTCAATTGCAGTTGACAACATGCTGCGCATCATCTGATGTAGGCCACGATGGTATCCAACATAGCCACTGGTCCATGACCGAAACACGCAATATGCGGTGAGCTGATCGTCAGCGCAGCCATTTGTCATGAGAATTGTTGAAGTGAACCTGTTCAAAGCAGATTTCATCGGTACACTTCGGTTGTAGCAACGATTCCTCTCACCTTTTCATGCAACTGAGCGTCACCGCTCATTGACGTGCGCATCCTGGTCGACGCACGGAAAGTCGAGCGGAATGATCCAGGTCCACGGACGAGCAAAATGCGTCAGAGTATTGACATTCACTCATCCTGGTGCATCGTGGGCATCCTTGACTGTTTCCATGCACCACAACACGTTCGTCAGCACAACGTCTATGAATTTTACGGCGCGCACGCTCCAGGATTCGCCTACTCGGTTCGACACGCGTTGTCAGCCAGGAACACTAGGTCATCGTTATCAACCACAATTTCATGCTGAACCTCAATCGATAGACGATGCTGATCTTCATTCATCACCTTGTACGTGATCAGCAGCAGTGCTTCTGACTCGACAAACTACAGCCGTAACGATCCCTATGCATTTATGGGGACACAGATGCACCCAAGAAAGTACGGTGCAGACACCTCAGTCTCAACCACGACGCAGCTGCCAAGACATGACAGTCAAACGCAAGCGTCCAGAGGCAGTATCAATGACATAGATTGATGGTCGACAAGCGGGTAGAACGACGTGTTTGAACGAAATACGCACGACTGATTGCCCGCAGCCTTGTATCGCAGCAAAAGCGTATGACAACACCTTCGAGTTGAAGGCAGCGTTGGCATTGCTGTTCCTCGAAGTCATTGCAAACCTTTACTAGCGCTAGGAATACACGACGACACACTGCGTCTATTCACGCGCCGGATAAAGTAAAGCACAGGCGTGAAAAGTTGCATCGACTGAGGTGGCGTAAGCAGCGAATCCCTCGTTAGGTCGACTGCTGCCAGATAAGCAGCAGGAAAAAAGAAAGTATTGCGTGTCGGGAACGATACGGGTGACGATGCTCTACTGCCATCTGCCTTTCGCACGCTCGCAATGAGCTCCTCATCCACCTTGCGCCCCTTGTTCTGTTTTTTTAACTCACACCCTTGCGATCTCAAACGTCTCGAGTTGCGAAGTCGACTTCGGCTTTTGCGGGGGTTTGCTGAGGTGTACTATTCCCGTCAGCAATCGCGCTGGGCGGTCAGAGTTCCTTCTTTTACGCTTTGCATGAGCCCATTCATGGACCCTACGGCCACAAGCTTGGCTATACGTCCGCAAAATGCGATTCTGAGCCCAGAGTGCCATGACGTCGCGAAAGAACCGAGTCATACTACCTCCTTCAGCAACACTCGACTGTAGCTCGTGAAATCTATCAGCGTTTTTCTGTAAACAACGCCTTCGAGCCTCGGTAGGACACGCACCTTCTTGCCGTTACGCATATCCGAACGAACGATCGGGCGCCACGAATCTGTACTCGATCGATGGTGCGTTGTCGATGTGTGAATCGGTCTCTGTGAAGCACTGGCGGGCGCAGAGTGGGTGGGTAGTCGCTCGATGGATTTCTCTCGGTCAAGTCTCCCTCAGCTACACAGCACAGTTGCGCCGGCTTCCACTTTTTGGACCAGTTTCACCAGGAGCCCCATTAGCGCAGACGTACGGATCCGCATGCGACACACAAGCGACAGAGACCGATTCAGGGGAACAGAGCGTCGCTGGCAGGTGGAACCCTGGAAAAAGATCATCCGTGTGTGCGCCTCGCGATTTGCGGCATCAGAGGGTGACATACCTTCTGATTCTGTGGATGATCGGCTCCCGACCAGCGTCTTCCCGATCGGCTGCTACTACTGCGATCGATCGATCCGTCCACTGCCTCTGTCCTTTTGTGCGTCCAATGCACACGCTGATCATCATGACCAGTCGAAAAAGTAAAGCAGCTGTCCGACCGCTCCACGGTCGCACCTCAATAGCCTTTCACTCAATGTATATCACGTCGATTCTACTAGTGCATCAGCTACTACGACAGCGCCCCATCTTGTCAAGTCGATGAAAAGTGACCATCCGCTGTCGCCCGTAGCCGTAGCACCGATCGTGGCGACCTCCAGCTTCGTTCCCGTCGTGAAGCCATAGGATACAATCAACTTGCATGTCCAACGAGTGGCGCCGTTTTTCGTGCCCTTTCGATACGAAACGCGCGTGTCTGTGTGTGTGTGTGTGTGTTCGATCTCAATATTTCACGGTCGTTTTATCGCCCGGGGGAGGCCGTTGCCAGCTGGTTTCCAGTCTGGCTCCTTTGCGCGGACCAAAGCGTGCAGAAGCGGCCCACCCCCACCCCCACTCGGTCCGAGCCAGCGCTCAAGTAGCTACAGACACAGACACATAATCACACACACACTCTCTCTCTCTGTCTTTTCGCGCGCTGCATCATCACCATCGGGTCAGTCAGTCAGTCAGTCAGGTCAGTCAGTCAGTCAGTTGGTTGGTCGGTCGGTCGGTCGGTCGGTCGGTGTCTGTCTCCGAGCGCCGCGGAAAAAGAAAAGTCTCTGCAGTAGCGTCCGTGGCACCCGCTCGATTGACTGAACGTGCCCCATGTCCACCGCAAGTCCGCAATCACCCGACCCGCGTCAACTGGACGTTGTTCTCAAGTGTCGGCGTGCGAGTGACGTGTCGTCCACGAGCGCGTACGACTTGGCGCTTGATCGGAACGACTCGAACGGAGAAGAAGAGTGCGTGTCGCTTGCGTGGGACTCGGGGGAGAGCGAAGAGCGGACGGAAGCAGTGGCGCGGGCGACAGGAGCGACAGAGGACACGGAACGTCTCAAAGAGCAGGTGACGGCCGAGGAAATTGTCGAGACGGAAAGCGAAGCGCTGAACGAGGAAACGTGTTCGAGCGAGACGCAGGACAGGTCCGGGTCGGCTGAAGTGTCTCGTGACAACGTGGAGAAAGACAGAGAGAACGAGGGGCAGAGCGAGGACAAGCAGCAAGTACCTCCAGCCCGGCCTGCCACGGCGAGAAGTGCCGAGTCGAGTTGTGTTTCGCGACGCCCGTTTGTTCCATTGATATCCAGGAGCTGGCGCGTGCGAGCGATGGAGTCCAATTCGCAGATCACACGCCTGATGAAGGCTGCGCTGCTGCAGACCCTGCTGCACGCTATTCGTACGGGGTCGGTGGAGGGAGTGAAGGTTGCGATTGAGCGTGGGGTACAGGTGCAGTATCTCGACAGTCGCCAGCGCAACCTGGTCATGCTGGCGTCCAAGTGCGACACAGACGCTCGTTTGCACATAACGATTATTCTGCTGGATGCTGGCTGTGATATGAATCACAAGGACCTGCTAGGCTGGAGCTGCCTGCACTATGCCTGGTACGTTCGACGGCTCTACTCTGTTTTGAGCATAGAGGACTAATGGTTATTCGTGGATGCGGGCTCTGGCTGTGTTGTTATTATAGTGCAAGCGGGGCTAGCGATGTGGCCGCAGAGCTCGTTCGTCGTGGAGCTCGCGTTGAGTTCAACCCGTACGGCTATGGCCCCGAAGACTTTAATATCCCCAAGGTAGCGCGCGCGAAGAGCCTGTTACAACACACGGAGCAACTTCAGCACGAGCAGAACGTGTGCTCTGCTTGGGCGTACTTTCGTCGTCAGGCAGAGAAGTCTAATTTTAGCGTCAAGTGCAAATCGGTGAGCAAATGACTGAACCCGGGTCGTATGGGAGTAATGTGGCGATTCGATGTGCTCACGTTTGCTTGCCTACATGTTGTAGAACTGCGATCTCGGCAAACCTCTGAGAGTCACGTTTCAAGCTCCTGCTGGGCATAGTCCTCTGGACCGAATCCGTGTGGTTGACATGAACTCGGACGTAGCTCTCTGGCTACAGGTTTCCAAGACCTTTAGTATTCCCGCGGGTGATGTGGGTTCGATCACATTAGATGTCGAGACACTAGACCGCCCATCACTTTATCGTATCGTGTACGAGAAGTACGAGCCGATGCCTATCCATCAAGCAACAGCTTCAGCCGCTGGCAGTAATTTGTGCGTCAAGAACCTCGATACAGGATCGACCGTGTCGATGGGCAGCGTCAATACGCTGGTCTTGAAGGAGCTCAGGAGCTCTCGATCATCGAAGGCTTCAACAAAGCTGTCAAGTTCATCTAGGTACGTAAAGTCCAGTATCTTTTGACCGGTATACAGTACTGACAAGCACCGTGTGCTTTCGTTATAGGCCAGCACCCAAATCAGACAAAGCTGCGAGCGTGGTTCGAAGGGGATCAACGACGTGAGTGTTTTGCTTTGCTAAAGCTGCGCCGTATAGCATGTGCTGTCGGATTGGTTACTTACTTTGTTATTTGTGGTAACAGTCGGGCACGGGAGGTCGCTCAAAAGGTGTGCGAAGCGACAGTCGAGGAAGATGATGAAGATGAAGAGGACAAAGAAGCTGCTTTTGCAGCTGATGAGACGATTACGGCTCAGGAGGTTGCGGAGCACCCAGCGGTAACGAGTATTACGGGTGTATACAAAATCGTGGCTATGGGGGTGGTCAGCGTTTCGACGATGAGAACGGCCAAGGCGAATGAATATGAAATCTCGATTCGTGACAAGGGCGTGCTTGGTCTCCAGTTGGTACGGTTGTCGTCTTTGGTCAAGCGGGGTCTCATGCGGCCACTGCATCTACTAACCGTCGTTGTTTTGCGTGTGCAGGTGCCTAAAATCGATGGCTCGAAGAGATCTCCGCGTCTTATTGTACGACGCAGCCAAGGCCAAGCAGCGGCCGTGAATCCAGGTGATTGTCTTGTTGCGATCGGTAACGCCAACATTGAGCACGCTGGTCTCAAGCACACGCTGTGGGCACTGAACGATGCAAAACGGCCGCTCGTGCTTCGCTTTCGACGTGGAAATGCAAACGAGAAAAGGAGTTTGTTCATGACTGGTTTGTCCAAGCTGACGGGACCGCATAGGCATCCCGTGATTTCGGTGTAGCTGGCAGTCTGTCGGCTGGGTGCAGCTTTTGTTCCGCTAATAAATACGCATTTTTTGACGAGGTGGACACATCAATATGGTAAATTGAGTTGGAAAGTTTGTTCGCCTACAAAGCACCACATTTTGTTCATAGCACTGCAAGCTCATCGGCTCAAAATGAGAAAGCCATGTCTGCGCTACAACATGGGATGTCCTTTGTCTACATGACAGTATGCGAACGTCCTGTTTTGGCTGGCGCATCGTGGACACAATGCTCCGGGTTCGGTTGACACGTCGATGACATGCAGCGGATGTGTCTACCCATCGAATAAACCAAAGTCCATGTGTCAGACAAGTCCTAGTCTTGTGCAGGAAAACAAGGGAGACCCACCCTAAAGTGTTCAATCAAATCATCTGGATGAATCTGCATGTGGGATTCTGTCTCGGGATCAAACACGGTTGCAGGGTCTGCCACAGCCATCACGTTACGAGAGAGTGAGTGTCTTGCGATTTCGTTTTACCCGACAAAAAGTCTCGCACATTGTTTGCCGTCACCGCGCCACAGGTACCAAGCTTGCGCTTCCCACCATGCTGGTTCCAGAGATCCAGCGTTTTTGTACTATTCGTTCAGCCAAAACAACCCACACCATTCGTATTAGCACACTAGCTCACTTGCGTAGAATACAGTGCGGTGACGTTGCAACTTACGGGGATTGCTAGCAAGGATCCTGGCCGCAACGTGCTCGCCCACGATTTGACGTGCAATAGAAAACCATATGATGCTTTCAGTGGCGTGTACTTCTTCGCCAGTCGCCACTCACCGTCCTTTCCATTACTGCGCCGCCGGAGCCAAGGGCTGTGCCCATGGAACGTCCACGTATTCGGCAGTATGCTGCGGTGGGGTTCGTTTGGATCAACATCGATGATGCCAAACGCCCAATGCGGGAACTGTTGTCGCATTGCACCGGTTTTGTAGCCCGTGTAATAGACAAGGAGCTTGTGGACACACGTCATTTGTTTGTGCATGAATAGCGACCACGACTCGGTCGTCTTGGGCTTCTCCTGCTTGAGCAATTTGTCGAGTGGCGCCTCCGCTAGGAACTCCCCCATCATCTGCTTGGCCATTTCATCCACGTCCTGTCGGAACTTCTTGTTTATCTGTCAATGCATCACGCCTGAAGTCAGCAACAACAACAACAACAACAACAACAACAACAACAACAACAACAACAACAACAACAACAACAGCGACAACCGCCCCAGCCAAATGCAACTGTTATTTTCACATCGTCCACAGTCTCTATACGCCTACACGCACCATGCTAAGTCGACCGAGCGAGCGGGGTGCAAGAAACGCTGCAACGCGCACCTTCAGCTCCACATCAAGTTGCTGGATGTTGGTCACTTTCTGAAACTTGTGCTTCAAGACTTTGGCCATGACAGCCACTGGACTGCGGTCGTCGGCTCGGCGTTTCTTGCTCCTCACAATGCTTCGCTTCAGTATCTTGTGGAATTTGGCGCTATCGCCGCGCAGAGAGCAGGAGCAGACCGCACGGCCGTTACAGCGGCGTGTGTGGCGCCTGTGATTGGCATCTACGGCGACTGTGGCCATCGCGGCGGAGCTCGAAAACCTGGTCGTCGCGATCTGCTCAGCTGGTTTGATGACCGGTACGAATACCGGTATCTGAATCTATCTGTGGCAGCCAACGACGCACTGCGGCAAAGGATATCTCAAAACTAATAACCGAGTCGCGATGACGAGGCTGATACAAAGGCTGCAAGTAAGCTGGAAGGACCACCTGGATGAGCACCGTCTCGCTATACGACGACCGACGCCAAGGCGTAGCGAAGTTGTCGTGTAAGAGACAAAACACACGAGTAAGTGAATAGATTGCAGCACCATCGCGAGGTGCTGGACGAACTGTAGGCGAGTCTCGAGCGCTTCACATCTGCAGTCACGTGTGCTTCTTGGAGAAGCAGACATTGATGCGTAGCATGTGAAAGTGAAGAATCTGAAGGAGCGTGAACAGACTAAATCTTCGATGAACGAGCTCAGCAGCTTCACGCTTCGTCGATAGAAATTGTGGTCTCTTGGCCTCAATCTATGAGTTGTTCGTGTCGCGCTTTATGCTGATAATGTCAACATAGAAGAGTAAAGCTCTATCTTTGACCGGCTGTCTATCTAGTAAGCGTTTACATGGTTTTAGTGCATGCAGGTTAACGATAACTTCGCTCTACCATGCATTCATCCTGCCAGGGTTTCCAATTAACAACCGCACATGTGTTTCGTACACTAAAATAGCCTTCAACACACTTCATCTTTATTCTTGCCACGATATATGTTGGCTGGTATGCGTGTGGCAGTAGGAGGCAGTGGATGGACAATAGGATTCTGCAGTCACGTTCCTTGTCTTCTCTTCTACATGATGTGTTATCCAAAGATATACATACCACTCATCTTGCCAAGCAGCCGCTCGGCCTCCTATCTAAATGGATGACGCTAATCGAAGCATCGCGCCGAATCTCCGACCTACCGAATCGCAAAACCCTCGCTTCCCTACACTCCTCCTCAAATGCGTCTTCGTTTTCATCTCTTTCTCTCTCCTCCTACCTTAAGCGCCCTCGATCGCCCTTAGCTGACGCGCAAGGGGTCGCGCGTGCTGGCGAGCTTCATCGCATCCAACGCCTTTGCCATCAAGTCGGCCAGCATCCCCTCCATCCTAACGAAGCTCGAGGCGATTTTGCCACGCCGAGAGAAGCCGCATAGGAACTTGTGCCGCACATCGACGTGCTTCGCCTTGAGCGACGACACCTCGCCCGCGATCTGGCTGATTGTTGCCAGATTGTCCGCGTACAACTGGATCCGGCAGCGCTGGATCGATGCACACCTCGCGCAGCATCTCGCGCGCAACCTCGCCCGCGCCGTGCAGAGCGACAAGCCGCCTTGTTTGCGCGCGCTCCAGCTGACTGCCATGCCGTTCAGGGGCAGCACTCCTCCCGTCACCGATTTCCTGTCCGCCTTGTCGGCAGCGAAGTCGGCGTCACTAAACCCCTCAAGATGTGGCGTCTCGCCGCTGTCGATAGCTGACGCCGTCGCAATTCTCATCGTTGCTGTACTTTTAAGTAGCGCGCAATGCACTTTGCCAGCTTCCACTCTACCAAAAGCGGCGCGTGCGTCTGCCTTGTCGCCTTATGGACCGCGAATGTGATGTCCGGGCGCGTGCTGCGCGCCACCCAGAGAAGCGATCCGACCAGAGACTGGAACTCTCACATATTCAGCCCCACCCGCGCTCTTGCCGTCTCACAAAGCTCTGCGTCGTCTGCTTCGCCCTCATAGAAGTCATCGCCGGTTGGCGTGCGCGTCGGGTGTGCGTCGGCCAGCCCATTGTAGCGCAGGATATCACCTATCACCTCCTCTTGATCCAGCGTGTAGCCTCTTTTTTGTCGAGCTCTACGCGCACCCCAGAAACTTCGTCGCACGTCTGAGGTCCTTGATCGAGAACGACGCCAAGCTATTAAAGAACCTCTCGAGTGCACTCGCGCTCGTCTCATTGGCGAGGAGATCGTCTACACAGACACCAACGACGTTTGGTCTTTGTATTCTTGCTTCCAGTACAGGCACATGTCGCTTTCGCATCGCGCGAACCTGGGTTCAAACATCTTGAAGTGTAGCAGCTATCTCCATAGCCTGCCTTCATTATTAAGCCCATACAGGCTCGTATGCAGCTTCATCACGAGCTCATTAGCGCTCGCAGCATCTCCAGCGACACGCGTATCCCGTGCGGCAACTGCAGCTGCAGAAAGATCTATAGGTGAGGGTCCTTGTGTGCTTTTGCATACGCGTTGGGGATGTCGCCGTGATTGGAAGGCACATCCTACGTAGCGGCAAGAGCCGTGATCACTGTGAACGTTAACAGGATCATTACAGCGTAGAAGGTGGGCATGTAGTTGACGTTGAGTACTTGTTCGTTGCCGCGGGCGACAAGACGCGCTTTCAGTCGCTCGAGGTCGCCACGCGAGTTCGTATTGGTCTCGTAGACCCACTTGGTATGCAGAGCATTTGTCCCAGGTGCGCGCTGGGGAATGTCCACGCGCCATTTTCCTGAAGCGCGAGAATCTCCTCCTCCATCGCCTTCTCCCATCCGTCGCGCTTGCCGCTGTGCGTCGCTTCGCCATTTTACAGTGATTGGGGCTCAAAAGCTGCGCTTACCACTTCGCCTCTTCGAGCTGGATCCTACTGTCTATTAGCTCTTTGCGCGCGCTTCCACGCGCCACGCATTTCGTTCTCTAACCGTTTCCCCGGCTTCACGTTTATCCTCCGAGACGCAGATCTTTCTTCCACGCTGTCAGCTATCGCTGCACTCGCCGCCCTTTCAGCTGGAGCTGGCTCTCCGACATCGTAAATTCGTTCGTACGCGCCCATCACGCGCTGGAGCTGCGCGTTCAGGGCGTCGGGCAGCGTGCCGATGTTCTTGACGTGTTGCGTCGTGATCACCTAATTATTTCTCGGGAGGAGGACCTTAAATCCCTTCATCTCCTCACTAAAGACAAGAGTTATGCTGCGCTGCAACCGCTGCTGCAGGGAGTTCTTGCGCTGGTCGCGATACACGCTACAAGGCGTACCAAAGACAACAATGCCGCGCAAATCCGGCACTTTGCCGGTCAGCGCCAAGATCGGTGACGATATTTTCGCGTTTTCGTTCGCGTTTGCCTGCGCTGTAACGGGGCACACCCTTGCGTGAACTTAACGCAAGGGTTTCGGTGCGCCCGACAGACGTACACAAGGCAAACGAGGAATCGTAGGTAAGGTAAAAGCAGAACTGTTATTTTAATATAATCAAGTCTTTAACCAATGTCTCTCTGTTTGACTAAACTTAATTATGCTAATATAACTGAGTGTATGGTGACGTCTCGTCAACACTCATTGCGCGCGTCTAGCGGCGATTGGTGGGTTGATATCGTCAAGATATAAACCAATGAACAGACTCTCTGGTCGACCCTTCAATATCACCACTTTGGTGATATTGTACAAAGAATATTCAACATAATTTTCTCTATTGTCATTGTTTCTTTAAAATAACAATTCCATGTAACGGGCTGCCCCGTTACATCACCCCCGTCTTAACTGATAGTTACTGTGTGACTATCGAAAATATGGTGGCCACTCATTGGTCGCCATTGGGACAGGGAGCACTTGTTGGGTCAGTTCCGTTCATAACTTGGCCTGACCTCGCATAGTTAACCTGTCTATGCGGGGTGACGCAAGGCACACAGAGTCTGTGCCTGTGCCAGCTTCTGCGGCAGACGATTCGTCGTCTGCTGCTCCTTCTCCGCCTGCAGCAACAGGTGCTGCAGGTGCACGCGGTCCCACACCGCGTGCGCATGATGACCCCGACATTGAGGTCATCTACTCTGGAAAGTCAGACGTGTTTGACTCGGGCAATGTTCCAGAGGCGTCTCGATCACCGGCGACGCCTCAGTATTCGCCAAGGCCACTGCCGAACGAACGGACTCGTGAGTTGCATCACAGTCTGTTCGGCAGTGATGATAAAGGTGATCAGGGTGGTGAGGAGTAGTATACCTTACCACCGCCGAATTTTGCCTCTTCGCACGAGCGTGATGACGATGGCGTGGGCCGTCGTCAATCTGGAAGCCGTGGTACCGACAAAGGTACCACTGTGAAGCGTGATGAGCTGAAGCCGTGGCGTTTGCCCGAACGGCTCATCAATGGCTTGTCTCACGAGACAAGCCAACACCATCGAATACTCTTATTCGATGCGACTGAGCTTCACGGCTTGAGTTCCAGCGCGAAGAACTTTCGCGCTGAAGAAGATTTTTATCCCGATGTCTTTCTTAGACATCGATGGTACAACGGCAACCAAAAGCGGGACAAGGCCTCGCTTTTGGCTGCGTGGAACGCATTCGTCCAAAATGTAAAGAATTTTGGACGAGAAGGGTGGCTCAAGAAACTTGAGGCGACACGCCTCAGGTTCGAAAAGCGAACGCCGACCGGTGGAAGGTACCGGTTGCACTGTTTGTCGAGTGAGGCAGACATTCCTTGCCTCACATGGGGAGACCCTTGTGCGAGTTGTGTTGACAATTCGCAGCGTGCACATAGGGACGTGTATTCCGTAAGTTCGCCCTGGGGAAAAGCACACATCTCGGCTGAGATGCGTGACGCGATTGCAAACTTGCAATCCGTCTACAAGCGCCTAGGGCGCGTGTTTACCGATGGGCCCGAGGACTCATCGGATGAGTCTCGTCATACTGGCGGACGAGACCTTCAACGTCCATCAACAGCTGAGAGCAGGGCTCCCAGCTGTTCCAAGAGGGTGGATCCCCCCGCCACTGGACGAGGTATCTGGTCCTTGATCCTGAATCGTCACGGTGATTCAAGATACGCTCCACTAGAAAGCGTTAACCACCGTGAGCATCCAC